ATCTTCATCTTGACATAATTGTTGTCGTGTTTCTATCCTACACAGGATAAGATGACAGGTATCCCAGATTGGAATATTCCACGAGTACCCAATTCCGTGCCATGTTCAAATGCCAAGCCTACTCTGGCTCAGGGATAAGGAGTGCAACAGTTCTCATTGGTCACTTAATGTATTCTACCGAATATGATCAATATGAGTAATAAATCAAAAGAATACAATAAAACCGAATCTGAGAGTCCACCTTTTGAAAAAAAATCGAGCACACCGGAGTTCAGTACAACCACCCTCAGTCCACTAACACTTTCAGGTATTTGAACTCGATGTTTTTTACACGTTTCGGGTGAACAGCCGAGAGGCTTCACTTGATAAGCATTACTGTACCCGAATTGAGTGTTACAATGAGCGGTAATAATGTTATGACAAATATAATAAGTATAAATAGAATTTCCGAGAATTTCAGTTCCATTTCGTATTTCGCGCTGTTTTCAAAGACATACATATTTCGTGCTGATCGTTGGGTAGAGACACTTGTGCGGATCGCTTTATTCACTGGTAAAAGCTGCAATCCATATCCCTGAGAAATAATAGTCATGGCCGCATACTTCATTTGAACATGGCTCTGAATAGGTTATTAGTGCAATATTTCAATTTGACTCAAGTGCCAGTTTAATTGATACTTTTTAATTGATTTGATTGTTTCTCAACACCTTCCCCTATGTTGTCCATGTCCTCATGTCGTCAACCTGTCGCACTGACGAGCTCGGGGTTGGCTGACAATGATGATTCGTCTGCGATACCGAGCGAAACGGATCATCTGTGCTCTGGAGTGTATTCCTTTCCCAATGTTTCCTTTCATTTCCTTCTAATTGTCTTGTGTTGGGCAACATGGTTGGAATCATCTCAGATGGAAATTTTCCGTCAGAAGGCCAACCGTTTCCGCGTTCAAACTATCCAGGTTGTCCCACTGCATTTTTGGGATTTGGGGGAGTATGATAAGTCTCCCAGTCAGGTTATCCAGTCACGCTTTAATGTCCCCGTTTGCCGAGACCATTGAAGTGATGCCAAGGCTTACTATTAATATGAATATACCAGTAGTTTTATGAGTCCCTCTACTCGACGATTCTCTTTGTTTGGCCACCTAGCATCCGCGAAAATGCAGTGATTCCGAAATTCAATTGAGTTAAACGATGCTGATGGATCAGAGTAGCCTAAAGACATGTTTACGGTTCCGACGGTGGGATATTCCTCTTGGGACTCACGGTGACCTGACTTCTTTTGGGTCTTGCACGTCTCCCGGTTTATTGATCAGAGGGAGCGCACTTGGACAAGTAACGCCGCCCATACGATCGGTACTCGATGTGCCAAGATCAGGGCATGTCCTACGTTGGGGAACCCCAGCTGGGGGAGGTCGTAAATGGTTCCTGAATGGCGGGGGGTTGTAGGCTGAAAATCTGTTTCGTAGCTGATTTCATTTCTTCACAGGGGGTCGTATTTGCTCGTCGTTGGGGAGGGGGGGGGCGTATTTGTTCGTCGATTGGATAGGAAGGGGCCGTATCTGTTTTTTTCGCCTTTCAAAAGAGTTCGTCACGTTGCTTTTTCCGGTTGTCGAGTTTTCGCAGTTTTCTTGTTTTACTACTGCTATCTAACCCTTCCCCATCCCCTAGCCCCTCGATAGAAAAACTTGGAAAATCGGTGGGGATTCTCGAAAAAAATAGGAATCCCGTAAAAGTTAGGAACATAGTAGGTGGGATGCAGAAGGGGGGGGGGTCATACTAAACAACGAGATTTGAAGAGGGGTCATAATTTCCAGGGATTTTCCCTATCGGCAGGACGTGCTTTCAATCAGATGTCGTGTGTCTCCGTGACAACATGGTATTCAGATGACTCCTAAACGTACTGTTCCTCTTCTTCCTCATTTATTTTTTTTGGTTCTGAAAGATGAATGCCAACCCCCTTTCCTACCGAAATCGCATTTTGCCCAGCATTCTTCTCAAACTTTTTTTTCCCAGGAAAAAAATCACTGCATCCGCCTTTTCGCCGACTCTTTGCATTTCATTCAATTACAGTGCGCATTTCTTCTCTCCGCTCTCTTTTCGTTTTTTTTCTTCCGTGGTCTTTGAGAGAAATCGTCGTTTTTCAGCATTTCATTGCGTTCCATGTTTGCATTGACATTGACGTGTGATATTTTCCGGCTCATCCCCATGTCATTTCAGATCAGTGTCGGCGCCTGATGTGACTGGTACACTAGTTTAGCCTGTCGTATTCCATTTGCAACGATAGTTTCAAATATTCGGATAGTGGAGAAAGCTAGAGAGCCGTTGTCGTGCTACTCAATTTCACGTTCACATCCGTTAACAGGCTACCGCACACAATGGGTTGCACATTTCGTGCACGATTGAATCAAATCTGCTCTATTTGGTACACTGTACTAGTATTATGTATTCAAAGCTACCTCCTTTATCTAGGATTTGAGAGGTTTGTTTTTTTCCATACGACTTTGATTTTTCCATTATTTGTCAGGATATTTTGTTTTACCTGATCGTTAATGTATTTGGTTACTAGTCGGACAACCCCTGCTATTGAAGCCGAGTTTGAAATACCTTATTTGTTCTTTTAAGACATTTTCTGATTTCCTATCGCATTTTTGTTAGTCTTTCTGAAAATGGCGATTTTTGCGATAGATCCCATTTCTATTGATGTGTTTTTCATCTTTCTTAGCGATTTTCAACGATTTTTATGATAGGTCCCCATTTCTATGGATTTATTCCATTTTTATTCTCTGTTCTCAGTTTGTTCTGAAAGTGGCTCTTTTGAAAGAGCTGCATAACTGCGTAATGGCTAAAATTTCCCTTGATTTGTGGGGAGTAAGCAAAGAAGTGCAGCCTCACGCCGCGGATGCTGACCTGAGGCCTGTCACGTTTGCTAGTTTGGCGCGACACCAACACGCTTTCTTTCGTTTTTGGAAATTGGCAAGCTGTCACGCCCCTGCATCCGTAGTGAACAAGACTTTGGCGATGGGGGAAATTTTCTGTTTAAGACTAACCCTTACCCTTTAAACACCTGTCGACCTCGGAAGGTGGTGAGGTAGACACCTCAATCGAGTACGACGAGAAGTCATAGTGGAACATCTAGCGAAAAGGGAAGTGAAGAGATCAAAAGTCCATCGGACCAAGTACGACCCCCATGCACCTCCCTAACGACCAAATACGACCTGCTGCTTGCTTTTGAAACCCTCAGTGACGATTTGCTTTTCTTGGGCCCTTTTGAATTATCGAACTTCAGGAGTCCTTCTCTCAGATTTTGTCTTTATGCTCCTGTGGACCCTCGAAAGCTTGCGCCTTGCCTTACTTTTCTAATGCTTCTCCTCATTTTTTCCCCATTTTTCGTTCACCTTTTTTTGAGGGCTGACGAAAACTATCTCAAACCCTGTGATATCCTATCTCATTGAACTAGAAGAATTTCTAGCGTTTTAGCTACCCAGAACTCTGAACCACAGAACTGGGATTTGGCGCAGGTTTCCAGTCCGACGCATATCTCAGTAGTTCTATTCAAATCAATGTATCTTAGAGGGTTCATTTGTCGTTCGAGCGATACAACAGCATGTGTTCTACTACTTTTTTCACGTACTTTGCTTTTCTTTTCACGCATCCGCGTTGATTTCGTTCCTGTGCTCACCGTAAATCGTGTTCTCCCTGGAGATATCTCTTCAACCAATCAATATTTGAGTCAAGTTCGAGTCTTCTGATAGCTTCTTAAAAAGCCACCTCTATGTCACATAATTCACTCAGACTGAAATTAAGCTTTCTGAGCTGGACAGAGTTTTTCGTTACGTAAGAGCGATTTGATCTCTTCTCGTGCTCTCATGGGAGGATCTGGTGAGGAAATGAGTGTTTGCAACATACTGAGGAGTAGTCCTTTTTCAGAAAATTGAACGCGATAAATAGTTAATTAATTTTGGTAAAATACTGACATAAATTCCAGTGGAATGATAAAATATTGGATTGTTCTGCTGGCCCGAAACATGGTATTGATCTAAAAGGCGTCATCACAAAATGGCTCTCCAGAATTTCTCACTCCACAGAGCTCAGAAGGTCCTAACTTCCAAAAAAGACGCTTTAGAATATTTCTCTGCTCTTACCATCGTTTATTATTCTTAGATAAGATTTTTGGTGCTTTATCGCGAGGATAAGTGGTTGATACGGAAGTCTTATTTATGTTTTAATCGATGGGTTATTAGAACTCTACTATAATAGATTCCAATCCCTACAAAAGAGGGGCGTGAGGATCGACGTGGATTTGAGCGCAGGCACAAAAGCGTTTTCCACCAGTTGTTGCAAGCTCTGCATAATCTCGATTGGTGGAAAAAGGCCACTTGGTTGCGCTACACTCCACGCCCTTTAACACATAATCTCAGGGAGGGATCATTGCAGGGATCAAAACTGTACAACTGAGAGGTTTTGTAATGGTGGACACTTTGTAGCTGTATAGTTTAAGTCTTTTACAGCAATTCTAGATGCGCTTTCATGGTTAATGAGTTTACTACTATTTATTTTCAAAAATTCTATATTTCATAGGGTAACGACCTAGGATTGAATACGGTTGCAGGACTACATAGGGTGATTACTGTTCAAACTGTTGTTCAAAATCATATTGTAATCGATCTCATAGGTTGCTCAACTTCGAGGTGCTTTTTTTTAATGCGTAAGATCTCCCGCAGCTCGAGTGTTTTGAATTGCTTTAAGTAGGAGCGGGACAGCTTCAAAGTTGCCTTCTGCCTGGGTTTTCGCCTGATCGATCGAATTATCTGGAATAAAGTTTTCAGAACTAGAAATAATCCCATGTAATTCGTCCGGTAGAGGTGCCTTAATTGTCATGTATGACCTGCTTTGTCTGAAAAAAAATTGAGTAGAACAGGCAGAGTTATCTGAGGTTTTCTTTTGTGGTTTTCAGGATTTATTTTATTGAATTTCTACGTTTTCAGATATAAGTTGTATACGGAGATGAAATGGCCAACTGGTGGTTATCCGCACGCATGGCTTACAGTTTACATAACTCTCTATGCAGCCTGTATTCCATTGTCGGTGCTATTCTTTTCATTTGGTTTTTTCAAATCCGGTAATATCGCCGGAGACAACGAGCGGCTCGCCGACAGGGAAGATCGTGTCATTGAGGTCTCAAGGAATCGTAAAGGAGAGAAATCAGGTAAACATCGGGGAGTTTCCCATCTTTATTGATTTTACTTACTTATTTGACTTCCTTTATAACTTAACTTTACTTATTCATAGTATCTGACTTCCATCTTCAGTTCATGAAGTCCTCAAGCTCTAATTACTTTTGCTGACCACTTGTGCAATGAGCCAGCAAGTCAATGATGAGCCGTCGGTTGGGTTGGTTGAGAACGGAAAGATGAGGCGTGTTGGCCGCGGCAAAAGGATCCTGTCTTGGCACAATGGACGACACAGATGCTCGACGCAGCGAGCGCGCGGAAGGGAGATTAAAATCCTAATTATTGAGCCCCGAGGGGATCAACTCACACTGCTCGATGTCTCCGTGTACAGGCGTTATTGCTGGCCCGAGAAATACGCTGCAGTGCAATAGAAACCCCCGCACACGCGTGCCAGCTACGCAATTACGCACTGAGGCAATATATTCGGCGTAGTCCAGTCACATCTGGAAGTCGGACTTTTGAATGAACGAACATCATGTCTCAGTGGCATGAGTTCATGCAGTCAAACCTAGTATCGCGTTGCTTTGGTGTAGATGCCTCACCCTTCTGATCACTGAACCAGCCACGCGGTTAACTTGAACACTTGAATATCGACACCCAAATTAAGACGACCGATAGGTGATTGACTTGAGTTGGAAGAAGAGGAGCACCAAGAGACACTCGAACCGTTTATACCAGCAAATCAATGGGATAGGTGAACTGGCTCCTCGTTGCCCGCGAGCCCCTTTTATATGCGCTTTTCCCGCCAGATCGACGAGCGGATCGTTGTAAGTGATCTGCCATGATCAAATGACCTCCGCTGACTCGAACTAAAAGAAGCCGATTTGAACTTCATATCGATAGGTCCTCATATAAATAACACAAAAAACATGCTAGTTCATCGACAAAAATTGGCAATTTAGTGAAACTTAAGGTTTCTTTTGGCGACACCGAGTTGGGATAGTGAGGGGTTTACCGAGGGCTTAGAAGGGTTGGTGATCTCATGAGTGTCAGCTTGTGTTTGTTAGCTCAGTCAGTTGAATGGAACACACAGATCATGCGAGGGTCAGCAAAGCTTTTTGCTGGGGATTTTTCGGTTTCCTTGAGAAACCGTAGTAACTGTAATGTCTACAAATCATATCAAGCCTAGTGACAGATTCGCTAAAATTCCTATCAGAACACTACAAATTTTCTTTTGTCATCCTAGCGATACTTCCTATAACTTTACTACTGCAATTTTCAGGATGCCTTCATGGTATTAAATCGTGTTGGCAGCATAGCCCACCAATGCCGCAACAGATTCACGTCATCACCGCTCTATGTCAACTGATTGCACAACAGCTTATGATCTCACAGCTCTATCGTCATGGATTTGTCAATTCCGGTTGGTGACGGTATTCTTTGGCACGGCTCTTTAAGAACATCAAAAACCTGAGTACTCTAGAAATGATGACCATAGCTCTGGTCATAGAGCTAGCTGGTCATTAATAGATAATTATCTGCCTTTTTACTATCCAGTTGATTATGCATGCGATGGAAATTAGGCACGTGGGAGTACTCATAAAGTCCGGTGACTGGTTGTGTTAGAAAGCAGCCATCGCGACACTGGAAATAGTAGGCTATTCCGCTGTGTTATGGCCAACTAGGGGTATGGCGCATGATCCTAGGATGAAATTCGGAATCGATTCCTGCCCAAACCATGTTAACAATCATTATTTTATAAATTAGTATTGAATTTGTTCGAGTGTACAAAACAATGTCGTTCCCTTCGAGTGAACGTAGGGCCAGATTTCATTAAAATATTACCCTATTTCTGAATAGAAGTACAATACGTGGCGCATTCTACGAGGCTTTAATCAGTTCTGAAAGCATCACTTTCTAGGCTCGTCTCTCTCCCTTCCTCCCTCTCTTTCACTATCTCTCTCTCTTTTTCTTCCTCTTCTTCCTCTTTAGTGAGTTCTGAAATTTTTCCTTTGATTAGAAAACAGCCTTAACTGAATTTCCTGGGAATCCTAGATTAGTTTCACCAAAAAAATCTCCATTCCAAGTGTAATTTCAGCAAGCAGCTCTCTCGAGAATAGTCGCCAGCCATGTAATGAGTGCTTGGGAAAATGTTTAGAGGGTTTCCCTATAAAAAACTGCGGTAACATAGCAACGCGCCCGTGTAATGTTCGTGTTTAGTGGCGTGCTCAGTGAACATTTTCGAATGCTCATACACTTCCTAATCGTATTCTTTGGCCAAATGCCAATTACTGCTCCGTACTGGAACGAAATGAAATTAGGGGATTTCTCCACGATGTTTGCAGTACGGAAAAAACGTCCTTATTGAAGGGGCTGATGCGCAGCCAGATCTATGAGGAGGAGCCAAGATAATTTTTTTTGGCGGGTAGAGTCTGGTCGTATTAACATCCGCGCTACGCTTAACTACGGGTCATGTTTACATTATGTAATGAGCAGATGTCGCACATCTGCGTGCCCAAATGCCCGTTTTGAGAACGCCTCGTATTGTAGTGATAGTTTTCTGAGTATTTTCCTACATTCCTGCCCTGGTCACCCTAGAGATCTTTTTCGGTGGATTTCACAAATGGGATATAGTCAGTGTCATATTCCGTAAAAATCCATATCTTGTAGGAACGGTTTATTCTCTATGTAGCTCCGAAATGCGCTCAAAAAAGCAAAGCAAAGGCTTTCAAAATATTACTATTCTGAAAAAATATTAGAAGTTTGGCGTCAATCTCCTTGGACGCTACGCACCGAACTTTCTTCACAGTAGTAGAGATATGCAGTCTTGTTCAGTGCGTATGATAAAGCGTGTCAGGCTGGTTGGGTTTGACGCGGCGCCAAACCCGTTTTTTACCAGCTATTGAAGCGAGCAAGCGACAAGACTCTATAATATTGTTCATTAGTAGTTTTCCACCAGTTGTCGCTTACCCGCTTCAATATTTGGTGGAGAACGAGCTAGCTACGCGCCAGTCCCAGCTCCACGGACACGCCCCATCATCCATAGCAAACAAGACTGTAGGACTGAACCCCATAAGTAGGCTTACAAAAACCAGCTAAGATCCAGGTTCATTTTGACTCCTTGATACTACCTGGTACGAATCAAATTCCTCAGAGGGTGAAAAATATGGCTCACATTTGTAAGGCGTTGAGGGCTGAGTAAAGGCACTTATGACTCTTGCGTCGCCGCTCCCCTCTCAGATGTGAATTCGAAGAAAAGGAAAAGCTTTTTGTCCGAGAAATTTCATATGAACGGGAAAACAGAGATGGAGTAATCTCTCAATAGGACAGGCCCATAGAGCCGAGTGAGTGACACTCCTGTTCTCACCTGTTCTTATTCAGACGATGAGGCCTAGTACTGCCCTTTGAATAGCGCACATTGTGTACTTCCGCTCATTCGAACAAGAGTTTTGCCGAGAATTGATTTCGGCGTAACGTGGATTCTTTAGGACGGATAACGATTCCCATATGCTCCCCTTATGAAGTTGCAGGCTTTCGTGAGGATGTCGCTTTAGGGTCCAAGGAACAGTAAGCCTTGAATAAATCGATGTTTTATGGATTCCTACATGGGGTTCCTTCGTGCATTGATGCGATCTTCTGAGATACACGTGTGTGTCTCCATCAGTTTTACTGCAGACGGTTTTTTGCTAGACCTAGATCTAGCTTGTTCGACTCGAACGACGCAAAGCCCAACAAAAAACAGGGGATCCAGTTGAAAGTAATTTAAGGACACCCGGGAAACCTCTTCAATTTTTCGGCAAGATTAGGTGAGTTCTCGCTGTAATAAACCGATTGGGCCCTCTCCAATATTCAGAGTTGGTAGGGTTGAGTTGCTACTGTCTTTACAGGGGTGAGAAGATTCTGTATAACCGAAAGGTACCTCACATTCAGATAGTTTCCGGCCTACGAGGGGTATTTATCTTCCAATCAACGTCTCACCTCAGTTCAGACGCTACAAATCAAGCTTGAGTGAACATAAACGCGGAATCCGTGAATGGAATCGCTAAGGAAGCTTTGTTTTTGGTTTCTTAAAAATGAACAGATGAGGTCGCCCTTCAAATTTGGCCCATTTCAAAATTCTTTTGAAAAACGATGCTGCGTCGGTCTCTACGGTATGGAAGTCGTTTAGATTTTGTCGGGAAATAATACTGCCATCGTTGGATTGCATTGCTGCCGCTGGGCAGTAAGGTTTTGGAGCACCAAGCACCAGCAAAATTGAAATTGCTTACGGACGTGAGGAAAGTGCGGTGCACTTACACGATGACATTAGAGTCGGTCACCAATGAGTCCTGTTGCTTCAAAAATCGTGCAGAGCTGTACGGGAGGCATGCCGCTATGTTTGTATAAGTAGAAATGAAGTCCATTACTGTTGGAGCAGGTATTTTTCTGAGGCTCTATCTGGAGGAGGATTGCAAAGCCAGAGTTTACTTCCTGAGCAGGGCTAGGGTAACTTGCTTTGACGCCTTCCTTATTATCTAAGAAGAGGCCATTATAAAAAGCGGAGCGAACCAGCCATCACCTGACCGTATCTTCAGTCCGGATCACGGTTCCTGTAGAGGGCGTAGCCATGAACTCGGTAGCGGCGGTGGACTTTTGTCGGTTCGGGCGTAGAAGCGGCGAGAGGCGCAGACGGCACGAGATACGTTCAAACATCTCTGACCTAGCCTATGCCTGAACTAGTAACTATCCATAGATACGAAGTGTTCACCGCTAAATACGCAGAGACGCCCCATTTTGGCGCGATGGTGTGAACTGCACGCTCAACCAGATCATTGCTGGGGAAAAGGAGCCGGATAGTGTCCAAATCGTCCACCTGACCATAGTCTTTCCCCTTCAAAAATCTGTAGGGAATCAAGTGATTTTGTAGAAAAATTGTAAATAATTGGGTGGTAAGAGCTGCAGTAGCGCATTCTCCTACGGCATGAAAAAAAACTTGTCAGGAAAGGAGGAGAGGGAGGACATATCACCCTGGGTAGATCCTTCAAAGATACTTCAGCTTATTTTTGAAAAAAAGATAGTAGGTAAGTCGCAGTTCAAACGCAAGCCTCAAAGTGGATTGTGGCTCACTTCGGGCTACTGCTAGTATGCTGTTATCAGGATATGGACCCGTCTACCCCCAAGAATCTCGTCCACAAGCCCCTACCACGTGCTTGATCGACTGACCTACGGAACTTGGCGCGGAAATGCGGTGCACCATAGAAAGAATGGTTATCATAGGTTATTTCTTCGAATGGAAGAGGGTTAGAGCTATTTTTGAAATAGGGATAAGGAAGCACCGTTAGAGATGGTTCAGCGGTAAAATGCGCTAGTCACCATGCTCACGGTCCTGAGGTCAAATCTCGGTTAGACTCCAAGTCAACCAAGCCTTTTCTCCTGTTCAGTACGTGACGGGGCATGTTTAGAAGCATGAAATTGCTGTATTGCGTGAGATATCGGCTGACTCCTGAGAGTTATTGTGTTGGCCAAATTGCATTCAAAGTACCACTAGGGCTCTGAATGAAAGTGTATCGCAAATAGGGTTCGATCAGCGCCGATGTTTTCACTTACCCGCTAGGTGAAGTAACTACATATATAAGAAAAAAAAGAGGTATTTTTGCTGCCTTCTTTTAGACATAGCATACAACAGCTTCACAAAATTGACACCTTTCTTGGATTACTGCACTTTCTAACTCACTGATCCACCTCTCAAGGGTCACTTGGTGAGGCTGAGGCTTTCTACCTCTGTCGCGTCAGAACTGAAGTTGCACGATTTTTTTGAGTGGCACACATCCGGTGCGAAGACGTGTTGTAGCGACAATGGCAGAATAACGTGGCTGGTTTATTCTTTAGCCATAGCACACAAATTTCGTGCGCCCTCAGTCGGCTCTATTCACGTGCGCTGACTTTCACACATTCGGAAAGGGTGCCAGTCAACACACTGCTCTCAGTGGACGTGGCTGATCTTGCATTTGACGCTGAAAAGGCCGCTCCCAGGCAAAACACGTTATTTGTTACAAGGCCCGTGAGAGCGCGAGTGGGCTGAGATTTATGTGACAGGCAAGTGTTACGTAGTGATAACATCATTGAGAGCTATTGAGGTGTGAGCGTTCCTAACGAGCAATTGATCATCATGATAACGAGACAGGCTGTCAGGCAAGTGCAGTCGTGTTGGCTTGAAGGCAAACAAGGAGGAGAGCGAGAGAGTGGGGGGAGTTGACTAATGAAAAGAGTTCAAGGCAAATGGCACGATAAATCTTCAAGACGGGATTAATCCGCCTAGCACGACAGAATTCGTCGCTCTCGAGCAGGCGCTGCATGGCGCCTCTTCCAGGTAAGCGCCCCTATAGCGCCCTATCAAGCTGCAACACATCGACCCGGACGCCCACCGTGCCCATCCGCCCACAAAGGTCCGACCGATGACGCTCGTATCGCTTCCTTTGCGAAGAACACGAGGGATTGTATGTACGACGCCTGCGGAAATCTCGTCCTAAATTGCTTTCTGGTTCTTGTGGAGCGAAGGCTCCTTTTGCAGTCTTTGACCCGTTTCGCTTTGCTTTTTTCGCCGTTTTCCGACTATGTAGCACCCTTGCCACCATTTCAAACCGAGTACCCTTGTCGCGCCTTACGCATTTTTAAGCTCTTCGCTCTCAAGGAAAAAAGGATCATAGTTGAACCATTTCGAACCATTCTGTTCCACTACGCCGTGCGTCAGGTACCCATCCACAGTTATTAGGTTGTCCGGAAAGTTCTCAGCGTTTTGTGCACATATTTTTTGTACATTCACTGCTGATTAAAAACTCATTCTGCCTTGCTTCTCAGTAGCACATCCTGTAGAGAATTTCTTGCGCTATCTGATGGTGTAATTGCCTTTTCACCATTGCTTGTTAAACCTCCTTTTTTCAAGATTTTTTCAAGCATATGAAAAGAGCACTTCGGACGTTTTTTTTCTTCGACTATAAATTGGGGCAATCCGCGATCGAAACAGCTCAACAAATAAACCAGGTGTGGGGGCCCAATAGTGCTAGAGAAAGCACTGTGCAGCAATGGTTCAACAAATTTCGTTCTGGAGATTTCAGCCTTGAAGGTGGACCTCGTAGCGGTCGACCTAAAGCAATATCTGACGAGGATTTTAGGGGGATTTCGGAGGCTGACCCATCCTAAACAGTTCGAGAGATAGCAGAAGAGCTATGCCTTGGCAAACCCACTGTTGCAGATGGTCTAGAACGCATTGGGAAGGTGAAAAAACTCGACAATTTGGTGCCCCACAATCGGAGTGACCGGCAGGAATCGGCACGTCTCGAGGTTCCTTCTGCATTGCTTTTGCGCAGCAGAAACGACCTGTTTTTGGACCGAATTGTAACCTGTGATGAAAAATGGGTTATGTATGATAAAAGGAGACGTTCCGGACAGTGGTTGGATTTCGACGAACCACCGAGGTAATTTTTAAAGCCGAACCCTCACGAAAAAAAGATTCTGGCACGGCTTGGTGGTCACCGGCTGGTGTGATCCACTATAACTTTTATCACCAGGCCAAACCATCACAGCAGAACCCTACTGTGAAGAGATCGACGAAATGTACCGAAAATTTTGTCAGATGCTGCCAACACTTATCAGAAGAAAGGGTCCGATTCTTTTGCATGACAGCGCCGCCCACACGTTTCACAAATCACCATCCATAAATTGAACGAATTGGGGGTTGAAGTTCTACCACACCCACCATATTCTCCAGACCTTTCACCAACCGACTATCACCTTTTCAAACATTTTCAGAACTTCCTTGCTGAAAAATACTTCATCATGAGGACCAGGCAAAAAAGACCATCGTAGATTTCGTGGATTCTCGACCACCCAGTTTTTTACTTTGATGGGATTTCACGACTGCTGTCACATTGGCAAAAGTGTTGCTGATTCGAATGTGCCTATTCGATTAAATCCGATGAGTATTAAAAAAGTGACGATCGTTTAAAGTGAAACACCCAAAACGCTGAGTACTTTCCGGACAAACCTAATAGAAGGGTATTTGAGTGAGTCGTTGTGAAGAACGCGACCATTGGAGACTGACCGTTGTTTAGTTAGATGGTAAATGCCGTTCGGCGAAATAGTGATAAAAAATGATAAAACACGTGGGTCATAAAAAGAGTAAAGGTTTTTATGGTTTGGGTAGAATCGATAGTGTGGAAGTAGAATGCTCCGCCTTCAGCCACTGCACTATCTATTGCAAAGCAGCCTATAGAGAAGTACACTCAATATCACCGAAGTAGTATTCAATGATATTTTGTTCTGCTTTAAGTTACTGAAAGGAGATTTAAGATTGACGCCTAGTAAGTATTTGGACTTTTAGACCAAGTAGGGGCCGCATTTCTTCACTGTCATTACAATGTCCTAACTTAGGCAGGACTCAGCGATCCAAAGTTTTCACTTCACTTTTTTTCCGTGGAGCAAGGTGGCTTCAGTCGCTGCCATCAGAACTGCAGAAGGCGTCAAGTACCTTTGTTTTTAAGAGGAAACTTAAGGAAGTTGACATTCCGACTATTGTGGGCATTCAAGATTTTTAAAAGTTTAGGGTCTGGACGGTCTCCGCTTGTGAGTATTTGTGTTGCCAAGTTTGTTGATGTTCTGGTTATTTTTCTTTGTGTCGATTTGTTTTGTAACTTATCTGTTTCGCTCATAATGTAGCGCACCCGTGTGTGCATGATAAATAAATAATAAATAGTCGGGTCGAATGCGGCGTTTCCATGATTGGTTGTTTCCTTTCTGAATCGATTTCTACCCGATCGCCATTGGTAGAGTAAGGGAACCGAACGCGAACTCCGAACTGCGCTGCTCACGCCGCCTCCGACAGTCCACAATGATGAAGACTGTCCATCGTAGTTCTATTGAAGCAGCAAGGGAAATATATAAATACTGAACAAACATATTTCAGGAGATTTTTTGAATACGGAACTCGATTTTCTCTATCAACGAGCTCGACAGTTGGCAACGAATTTGCCAATGGGAGAAACACGTCTGACAGGATTCCAAATAACCGCTGAAGAACTTCGTGGATCACCATTGGCGCCAAATTTGTTACCATGTAAGTGATGGCATTTACCATGGTCCTAGCACAGCTCGAGCGTGGGGCCTGGGCGCTTTTTGCCACTGGGGAAAGTTTTTTGAGATCACGGCCCCTCCATATTCCCTCCCTTTTGCGACCAGTACGACCTCTCCTGCTAGGGATTTCTCAACGTACGACCTGCCCTGCAGGGGCGGAGCACCTGGCGGCTCGAATTCCCTTCTTTTCTCCATGGCTTGGGCATAGTGCAGGGCAGACGTCTAGCATCTTGGGTCCCGTTTTTGCGTTCATGCTTTGCGGCAGCGTCCACCAGCGACCCTAGCGTTCAGAGCGTCCGAATAGGAAAGTATATGTATGTCGATCCAGCGTCTGCCGTCGTCTTTTAGCATCCGTTAGCGTTCGCAAGTGTCTACCAGCGTGCACCAGCGTTCACCACCTATCGAGAGTAGAGTATGACGAAGTAGAGGGCTGGCAAGCAGCTGAGCTAGGCGTCGTGAAATTGCGGCGTGCGCAACCGCACTGCACAACTGCTAAAGCAAGAACTACGTGATTCAATGTATGGGATGGTACATGGTACTGTGTGGTTGCACACGCTGCAGTTCCACGACGCCTAGTTCAGCTGTTTGCAAGCCCTTCACTTCCTCATACTCTCTACTCGCTATCTCTGACAGACTCTACATCTATACCTATGTTTTCCTCGCCCTCGAGGTGCTGCTGGACGCTTCCAGACGCTTCTTGGCAGACGCCAGATCGATATCTATGCTTTCCTACTGGCTGACGCTGCCGGATCCTCGGAACGCTAGTGGTCGCTGGTGTACAAACGCAGCCTGACATGAACGCGCTGCCATCTACCCCATATCCCCCTCCTCCCCACCCTCCACATCCCAAACTATGTTAGCGCCACAATTCTTTCCTGAAGTAACTCTTCCTGAGGCGACATTTTCAGTGTTGATGAATTTTCGCTTGTTTGGTATTCCACTGGAGTTTGTTAACCTTCTCGTCGCTCTCGTTGCCTACGCCTGTACATACCCAGCAGTTTTTTGGCGTGTCTCTAAAGCATTCAGGTAATAACTGGTGATTTTCTTTTGTCGTTTTTTTAAACAGTACGCCAATCGATATCAAATCACGGAAAACTACAGTCTTTTTCACTTTGCATTTGATCGAAAGCCAGCTCTAAACTGTTATGATCCATTTACGTGGAAGAGCTTTGGTAAGGATGCGTATCGATCAGTTCGTGAAGAGCGCACATTTCTATTGCATGATGTTCACTCATACTACATACTGGTAAAAAATGAATATCTCTATTATTTCAGCTTGATCTTCTCTTTTCATATGGTCATTCATTGTGCCGCCGTTATCTGGGGATACTTAGGGTTCAGCATTCTATTCAGAATCCAGGAAACCAATTACAACAGTCTTCGCCCTGTTGGACTTGGTAAGTACACGTTATAACATTGCTTTTTAATTTTCTATGACAAAACGTAAAGGGCAGGCGGCTAGAAGCGTTCAGTGGCTTCTTGAGAAGCTAAAACGGTTCCATGATTTTGTTTTTGTAGAAACTTGCGTTGTCCTCCCTACCCTTGAAGTCATTTCTTGATATATTCTGCACCATAGTCCAGTATTTGATAATGCCTCAGAGTCGCACTCCAGGCTCGTCTTGTGGGCGGAGCCTGGCCTGCCATTGTGTTTCTCATTCCTCTAGACTTTCTCTCCATTGTCTCTGAAGAAAGCTGCTCCCAACGAGAATGGTACAAAGCGCCATTCATCGAGTATAGAGCATCTCTTCGGAGGCGTTAAACGTTAATAATCAACAATCAGAAATATTTCCCTCGTGGCAAAATATGACCGCTTTCCAGCGGTTGAATGTAACCCCTTCACAATTTAAGCAACAGATGATGTTCCCCTGATTAGGAACCATATTAGATAAATTATGAACTATTACATGGCAATGACTGAAATTTTTGAAGAAATAAATAACTTACCGTATCAGCTTTTCGAGCCTACCTGGTTCCGATGGGGTCTACGAACAACTAAAACTCAATCACTTTGATGACGCCAGCTTTCTGTTTTTCTTTGCGTTCTCTCGTCTTCATGGCGATCTGTGACCTCTATGACCTTTCACATTCCAACATTTCACGCATAATAAGTGGCTCATCCACCCAGGTGTCTTCTCCTTCTCGAGAAAATCATTTCTTGGCCCGCGATATGTATAATACTGTGAACCTCTCGATCCTTGACGGCTGCATTCCTTTGTTTCTCTGCGCTCTGGCCTTTCGCGGCAGGACCCCCAACAAATTAGTTGTCGCGTAACCTTCCAATGGATAACGGTCCCTGTGAAATGACACCACGCAAGCGTGCAACTTTTTACATTTCTGCCTTCATTTTTGCAGCCATTTCACGTGAACTTGAGAGGACATGAACACGCGTGTTCCATCTATGGAAGTGGAGCAGGGGGCTTTTGACATCCGACACTGGCATTGGGATCTTCCCCTTCTGGTCTTTAAAGACACATAGAACGCTCATACACATTGAGGGTCTATGAGACTATTAGCCCCCCAGATGTCGATGTGTCGTGGTCCCTCCGCCCAAACATGCCCAGGAATGGAGATACAGGGCCGTGAAACACGCTAATTCTTCCATGGTCCGCCCACTGCCTTTTTGCAGATTCCCGCCGTTCATAACATCCGTCGTAAGCGCGCCTGTCGCGTGCGGCTCCTTGGCACTTTGCCACGTCCTTTAATTTCGCTCTCAAATCCCAGTAAAACGCGATTTCCTGATGCGGATAACATTCGAGGTGCTACATAATACGATCAGAAGATGATGACGAGCACGGTCAGAACTCAAAAGCAACAGTGCCACTTCTGCAATCTCCCTTGGAGGCCACGTACTTCCACGAAACATGAAATAAAAACGGCATACTCGTTAGTTTAATACAAGCAAGGCGCAATTTCCTGATGCGAATAAAATTTGAGGTGTTGCCATGCTTCAAAATCCATGTACAAGGAGATGAAGATGACACAGGCTAGAAATGAAGCACAACGATGTAAATGCAAACAAAACAAAAATGAAAAAAATCAAGGAAGGCAAATTAGATAAACTGGCCTGTAAATTTCTACGATCCGGCGCCAAAGCCATAGAAATACTTAGAACCAGCGAGTGGGACGCTTGGCTGTTTTTATTTTCATTTGTGGAATGCGCGGCCGATACTGCAGATGCAGCCGAGCTTGTCTGGGAGTTCATGCCCGCTTGTCATCATCTTCTGATCGTATTATGTAGCACCTCGAATGTTATCCGCATCAGGAAATCGCGTTTTACTTGTATTTGAGAGCGCAATTAAAGGACTTGGCAAAGTGCCAAGGAGCCGCACGCGACAGGCGCGCTCACGACGGATGTTATGAACGGCGGGAATGTGCGCCGTAAAAAGGCAGTGGGCGGAGCATGGAAGAATTAGCGTGTTTCACGGCCCTGTATCTCCATTCCTGGGCATGTTTGGGCGGGGGACCACGACATATCGACATCTGGGGGGCTGGTAGTCTCATACACCCTCAATGTGTATGAGCGTACCCTTGTGTCTTTAAGGGCCCGTTACCTTAACTTGTACAATAAGGAGCATTGAGAAGATTCCACAACCACCTTGCTATAGATCGTGGGTGATCGATCAATAATCTGAAGTAGTTCATGCAAAAATTGTTCTCTAAACCTTAAATTCAACACAACTGACTTAACGCATTGACAGTCAACAAATTTGGTATCCATTATTCTATGATTTTCCAGAATCGATCCCAATAAAATTGATAGAGCTGGAAACAAAATTATAAACTGTGTCAATACTGAGAGCAGAAACCACTTTTTCAGGGCAATACCTCGTCCAATCGCGAAATTGGCCATTCTATCATCCGTATGCGATTATTGGCACATTTGTGGCGTCGTTGGTGTTAATGATAATGGCGCCAATCGCTCTATACTCCTATGGCTACAATAAATACTTTGTAAGTCTTTTTTTCTCAGCATTCACAAACATTTCTGTAGTTTGTTAATCTAAACCAGAGAAATTAACATCATCTATGTCACCTGCAGTCCTGTTGAACATCTGATTACCAGTAACGTTTCTGCAGTGTCAAAAGGCGTGGGACGAGCTCACCTACGGCATTTCCTATCACTAGTTGTTTTCCACTTGATCCACCCACTATTGGGCTCTTGACACCTCCCCCTGGTTGCGACCATATTAACTGCAGTTTACTAAGTCTTTTTCTTTGGAGGGGCCTCAAAACCAGTCATTCACCCCATGTACAGGATTCATCAGAGTTCGTGAAGAAACCTCATGATCGGGATAGCATATGTCCCGCAGCTTAATTAGGCGGCCCCAGAGATGTCGTCGGTAATCACACAATACTGAATAGTAATGAAAACTAGTCTGAGGTTTATCCGTCCTGCGGAGATTTATTCTTCTTGGCATAGGAGGATATCGTTCCCACGAAAGGAGAAGGGAAGGGTAAGATGTCCAATTCTATTCGGCATAGGTAATACTGAGAAGCTATTCGTCCTTGGCTTAGCATATTTGTATTTGTCGGTCTGTTTCTGTAGGACCGGAAATTAGTCAGCGTAGCTCATTCACAATCCAATCAAACGCCTTGGCCTTGGCCAGCCAGCTGTGGCAATATAGCAGCGCAGAACTAACGCCATCAAGGGTTACCGCGAGCGCGCTGAAATGAAAGCAGCAAAAACGAAATGGTTTAGGGCACGTCTTGCCGCTGTGGAAAATTGTCGGAATATAGGACTTCCCCAGATAATTGCTCTAGTTCGACCTCCCCCATTCTACCCCACTTTTCCCACTTCCCACATTCCTGCTGCATATGTGAAACAGGGAAAAACCCCGAAAAGTCAACAGTTGGGAGGCATTTCTCCCAACGCCGCAAATTTCTTTTAAAAGGCGAATAGGCAATCCTCTTCCAACGACGAGCAAGTACGACCTCCCTACCCTAGGAGCTCTCCCGAAGACGTATATAGATAGCTCCCGTAAAACAAAAAAATCAGCTTTCAAAAAATTTTTTTAGACCAAAACGACTTCCCCTCTAGGGATTCCCTAACTTACGACGTTGTTTGAACGAAATGAAATATGTTCATACGAAAGAAAATCCGACTTGTGTTGCGCCACGTTTCCATTTCTACTTAGAATTGCTGTTTTATTGGAAAGCCTATTGGGCCTGTACAATGACTAATGCTGGTCATTGTGCCATTATCCTTCCTAAATTAATTCGCATAGCGAGTATTTTCCTGGGTTTTTCACCCATAGTTCTTTTCTTTTCTCTAACTCTCAGCTGAAAATGTGAACCAAGGGCTGAACTGATTTAGAGCTGGAACAGGCTACTTTTCCATTTCTTCACTTAACTCATGATCTAATTATCGTGCGTTGTTCCTAGGACAATAGTTTGGTTCTCAGTGTATGTGTAGGAGACCACGACCAACTGCAGTCTTTTTCTTTGCGTGACAAGGGGGAATGGGTTTGGCACGGAGCCAGCCCGTTATTCCTTTTTTTCTTTTGGCAAAATTCAACTGTGATATCGTTCTTATTGGTCGTTTTTCACAAGTTGGTATAGTTTACCCGCTTCAACAACTAGTAGAGAACGGGCTCTGACCGCGCGCCGAACATCAGCCTCACTAACAGGCAGCGAACAAGACTGTACACTCCCCTATGCACCCTATGAGGGCCTGGTCACGTGGGGGTCGCGCACCCACGTTCTCAACTTAGCCTATGGACACGCCCTCTCTATGAGCCGTGAAATAGACAGCATCATTGACCAGTTATATGTAGAGAAATCTTTCATTATTGTAGGTGAATGTGATGAACTTCCAAGCGAAGAATCACATACGTGCTGGTAGTTCGGCTGGACAAAGTGATTACAGCGACTACAAAAGACGAAGTTATACGAGACCACCAAGTCGTGAACTTTGTTGTGATGGGTTCGTTATTTCAATTTCATACTATTTTTACTATCGCTCAAAAGTAAACATACACATTTGTAAAAAAGTGATCCCAACCTCCCCTAGTCCCCTAGTGTTTAGTGAGTCTTACCCCTCGAGAATAAATCAAGGAATAAACAAGAGAATTGCGAGACAGGAACTGGCCCCTGTATCGCTGTACCAGGGTCCTAATAGAGATTGAAATACAGCTGTTTCACTGTCTATATCAATTTTTGAGAATTTGTGAATATTTTGTATTTAGTGCGAAGTACGATCACACGATCGCACTATGTTCGCAAGCTATCTTCGACCCTTTCCCATTGAAAAAAAACATTTTTCTTGAATTTCGATTCATACTGAACACGTATTTTTGTGTTCGAGACTTCAGCAGATTTTTTCAGGTATGCACCCCACACGATTGCCATTGTCCTACTAGTATTAATTGTCGTCGTGAGGGCACCAACAATCTACGCTCTCATGATTCTCTACCAGGTAAGCTTTTTTCCCGCCAGATTTTCCTGGAATGTACATTCCACATTCACCGATTGAGAGAAAGAAGTCTTTTAGCTGTGGACCTGCATAACTTATGAAAGAATATGCAGGTCAGCAGCTGAAAACGTCCACCAATCAAGCCACTTGAAAGTGCGTAGCAAGGTTGCCTGGGGCTTGCGACTGTTAGGTGTCACCGCCCATAAATGGGCGTGGACAACCTTACGAGCAATCGCTGCTTGTAATGCTGCCTCTTTCGTCAATGCGCTTCCTCGTTTTTCTTCGCATGACTGCGCTCAGCATAATCGTTGCTTATCGTTATATTATTTATTAACAGCAAAAAGTAGGCCGTAATTAGAGAGTTTTCATCTGTTTATTTTGCTTTTCTTCCCACGGGAGCGCATTTCTGCCCCTGCAAATTTGTATTTAAACCTCGTTACCCATATTTTATTACCGCAAGTGTGCCCTTGAGGTTTCTGAGAGGTGCTTGATTGTGCAAGAAGGTCTTGCAAATCTCTGTTATGACCCTGAAAAGCCACATTTTGCCAAATTACTCTTCGCCTGTCCAGTTAAAGCGTATATCGGAGGGAAACAAGGGCGGTTTCTGTGAGATCAGTTAAAGACACATGGTACGCTCAAACACATTGAGGGTGTATGAGACTAACAGCCCCCCAGCTGTCGATGTGTCGTGGTTTCCCGCCGAAACTGCACGGGGTCCAGTACGGGACGTGGGAAAGGCTTATTCCTTGCTACCGCCCAAAATGCAACTTGCGCGCGGCGAAATGCAGCTTGCGCGCGGTGAATTTTGGGCGGTGTAGCAAGGAATGAGCCTTTCCCACGGTCCCGTACTAGGACCCCCGTGCAGTTTCGGGCGCGGAAACCACGACACATCGACAGCTGGGGGGCTGTTAGTCTCATACACCCTTAATGTGTTTGAGCGTACCATGTGTCTTTAAGGAATAACACAAGAGAATAAAAGTGAGGAATAATAATTAGGATGAGTAATGTAAAATGCATGTAAAATTAATCGTGTTTAACTAAATAATACAACCTCAAAGTATAAACGATATATTAAACAATTACTACTTTCTGTGGGTTCAGGTAGAACAGTTTCCGTGGGTTCATGTAGAACAGAGGTGTGCAGCCTTGTTCGCTGCGGATGCTGGGGTGCGTCAGGGACTGGGTTGGCGCGGCGACAGTCCTCAGCCGACTGTTGAAACGAGCAAGCGACACCAGTTGGTGGAAAAGAGGCTGGTGCCACGCTAAACCCAGCCTCCTGACACGCCCAGTAACCGTAGCGAACAAGACTGTATGTGTTAGAGGAGAGCATAGGCACTGGAATGCGCAGCCATCGCTCGTAAATGCCCCTTTTTGCCCTCCTGGACCGTATCTGAACTATGTAGCTAATTACATAACATAACAATTACAGCATGAAGAGAAGCCGCTGCTGCTAACGTGTATCATCGTGGATGTCGTCTATCTATTTACATGGATATTGCTCTGGTTGATGCTAACATTGAAGAGAGAGTGGTCATTCAACGTCGCTCATAAAGTACATCAGATGTACGCCCTTCAGGTACAGCTCCTTCATCATTCGACGGAACTCATGTACTTTTGCACGTCATTTGCCGGGGTTCTGACAGAATACCTTATCGAATATGCAGCGTGTCTTTGTCAGAGATGAAGAGGAAGGGGTTGAGGGAGAGGAATCAAGCGCTGCGCAGTGCGCGAGGATTAGAAGCGGCCAGTCATCAAGCGACAAAATAGGGCCTGAGCGTTAGTAGCAACCCCTATTCGACTGAATAGAGACTGTGGATGCGTTGAATATTTAGCCAGGCCCCGGGGACCTCCCTCACTCCTGAATGGTATCATCAAGGACCTACAGCGCTGATCTCATAGTTGCGCTCGATCCTCCTTTTGTCATTGGTGTTCAGTCGTAAAGATCCTGCCTATACCCTCAGCTTTGCTAATGCCTCAAAATGAGTTCTTACCTTTCTTAACAGGAAAGCTGCTGATTTTTTGCAGTGCAGCTGACTTTGGGATGGAAGGCTATTCGAACGGCTTTCATTCTGAAGACGCCCAAACTAATTAATAGCGAATGGGTGCACTTGAGGCTGCACGAGCGATATTGGTCTGCTGAGAACAATGCGCCTATGGTCAGCGATTAGTCCATTAGGCACGGATTCTCCGATGGCAGGGAGAACGTTGTGGCCATGGGAAAGTTAGCCTTACCTTTAGTTCCTCTCCAGATCCGCCCCAAACCTAGTTCGGATCGAAATTCAACAACACCTTATTCTTCCGCTTTCCTTCCGTCCAATTCCACAAAAAAAAATCGCTCGCCGAGGAGGGAGAGAGTACGTGCGTGCTGAATCAGTAGCAGTTCAACTCTTTCTGAACTCCCACGTTCCTCAAACCACCAACGCTGCTCCTTATGGAAACGCCATGTTCGACTGATCTCGTCGGTTTGACTGGCCTCACACAGTCCTACCTATAAGGCCTGCGCTTAAACTATTCTGATTGGTCGACACAGTGAGCGCGCCAATCACGAACGATTGATTGTCGTGCAGGCCTCCGCTCGTAGGTTGCGATAAAAAACTGCCACTATTTCCTTATTATTTATCCCGATTTGCTTTGGCGAGGAGAGTGTTACGGAATCAGTTGAATTTGGGTTCAATATTGACCAATCTAATTGTTTGGGAGGTGCCGCTTAGAAACAGAGTTTTCCCTATTGACGGACTCGCAAAATGGCAGAACAAAGGACCAATGAGGCGAGCGCATCGATCGATATGACCCTCCCCATCGATCAGCGCAACATTCGCATTTGAATTGAATAAAGCACCAAGAGGCTCTTCTAGAATGTGGTTAGAAGCAATACAGTTGCCAAGTAATCAGAACAATTTCAGAAAGGCTTAGCTACCGGTCACATCAAAGGAAACGAAAATCCGTCACAGCTGAAAAATTCGCTGATAGTCATGCAAAGAGATCATGTAAGAGTTCCAGAGATACTATCATGTAAATCGTATTGTAATTGTTTGATGGCGTTTCAGATGTTTGTAACCGATGATCAAGCAGCTAAACAATCATTGCTGCGGCACATACAACGAGGTCATTTCGATACTCCTGAAGAAATATACTGGTCAAAAAGTAATGGCAATCAGAACAGTCCTAGTACAAGGTTAGGGCTACGTTACCCAATTTATGCAGGTTTTCAAAGAAAGTAGAGTGGATCATTTTTCTGATGATACAATTTCAGAAAACTACCGTTAAATGATAGTGTTAATAACACACCGGAGACGTCTCGATTAATACAACGCCCTATAGAAGGGACAGCTGCGTATAATTCGGTAAACCTTGTGTTTAGTAACTATTAACCACTTTGTAGTCAGTAGTAAATTTTGGTAAGGACTGCTGCCAGTTCGGGATTACCTCGAAGTTTTATTCGGTAGTAGCTCTAATTTTAATCAACAAACGTTATGCCTTATAGTGACTGCCAAGGCCTTCTCACTGGATATCTTCCGAAACCCGGCCACACCTTGAGCTCCCGCTCCAGGCAAGATGTCAAGTTACTAGTGTGGGATGACACCTGGGTTTGTGCAGGAAAGTCTTGGTCGCTTGAAGAATCCCTCTAACTTTTAGCAACAAGGGAGGGATTCACATCTCCCTTGCTACCTTTCGTATTAGACCTTGCATATTAGAGGCATGGTCCGCGATCAGGTATAGAAGTTAAAAAATATGACGTCGGAAGTGTAGTGTTGTCCGCGGCAAACAACCTTGTACCGGTTTCGCGGCAAAATTGTAAGGAGGGACGCTATAGCGCAGTACAGGCTCGGTGATACCTGCTTTTCTCCAGTGACTCCGCCTTCAAGGCCCGCCTTTCGGTGAAAAACGAAGCCGCAGGACGAAAAGCATGAAAATCGTCACTTGTACGGTCGTAGAGTTCTTATCGGGGGACCAGCGGTGCGGATGAGGGCTTAGTGCTGGAGATGCAGTTAACTGGGCGTGTACAGGCTAGGATCGAAATGGGGTTCTATTTAGGGCAAATGGCATACTATTTTCCGGTTTTTTCACTTCACGATCTAGTTACTTAGAACCTTGTCGTCTATATGCAAACCCCTAATCCACTATCTGTGATGGCAAACGATTACGCGCCTTGTATTTAATGCAGGCTCCTATCTGCAAGTTACTGAGACAATTACGACAACCTCCCCCCTCCCGGACAACTCAAACCATCCCTTGTGTATTCATCAAGGGTGGGATGTCTTGCTCCAACCATTCTCTTTTCCATCTTCATTTCATTTCAATCCATCTTGAGTTTCAATCTCTTCGCATTTGAGTAGGGCGTTACTGCTGCACCATTCTTTGAGCTCCTTACTTCAACTTAATCACTGAGTAAATGTACCTAAATTCATGTACTGTAAGAGTAGAAGCATCTATTTAGGTTGTAAGACATTCACATGGTCCGTCATCTCATTCAGCACAGATATCTATCCGAGCAAATGGATCACCTACAGATAGCAGAGGTCAAAACACTTTTGGCACCTTACAGGTAACCCCGGAGACTTATTGATTTATTTTGGTTTGTCGATCAAGCTTGTTTATTATTATATTCTCATTTTAAGAGAAGGGAAAACACCACTTACTCGTCTACCTTACAACGAAATCCCACGTCAGTGCAACGTTCAATAGCAGCGGGACAATGGCCAACGGTATTTGGACTATATTCGCTTTCATCTTACAAATACATATTATTTTACTCGTTTAACTTGGATTTTCCGAAATAACCACAGTATTTTTGAAGAGTTTCCTTACAGCAACAAGAAGCGTACGCGTCAATTCACAAAGCGAAAGAACACGCCGCACTATATCAGCGAAGAGATAGCGCAGATAATTCGCATTATGGTAAAGTCGAAAATAACTACAGTAATTATGGCACATATTCACGCATGCCACCACAGGTACGGTACTTTTAGAAGGTGCTGAAACTTGCACTGATAATTTGTTTACAGTCACGAATACCAATACCACCAGGACAACAAATAAATACCATGACTCTCAACAATGGTGGTTATTCACAACAACAAACGGTAAAATTGCTATTTTTGCTTTTTCATTGATATTTCTTGCAGTAAAACAAGCGTTTATTCAGAACACGCCGTCAGTGATTTCCACAGTGCGGCAGAGCCCTTTGCTCAGTGAACGGAGTTATAGTGGACATAACGGAACGAGCTCCAATATAATGACAACCTCATCAAGGTATGAAATATGACCAACCCTTTTTTGCACCTATATTTGGAAATTTTTATTTTTTCTTAAACAAGTAAAGGGAATTTGCGTTGCTGACATGGGTAGTACGGCTTATACACCATCGAAGAAGGTTAATCAGAAACAGGAGGCATTCGAAGAATATCCACAAAAAGAAATTGTCTCAGGCCCCTTTCCATTTCGTTTTTGACGCTTTGGCATCAGTCACCACTTCCCAGCAATGATATGGTTCAAGGCAGCAGGCATCATTGTTGGGGGCGGTCGGTTGTCGTTAATGTCATTGGTGGAAAGGCTAGGTGGGGTGTGGCCAAACGCCGTCGCAGTTCTTCCACCAATGACCATGGCAGCAACCACCCGCCCCTAACCATCGTGTCCACTGCCTCTGAGCTGTTTCACTAGGGCGTGGAATTGCACGCCAGAGGATTTGCCTTTTGGAATGACCTGGAATGAGACATCTCACCCAGTAGACTGTAAAGAGAAAGCCCGAAGGAAACAGTGGCATCTGTAGTGTGCGTGGGTAAAAATGTGGCCCTTACTATGGTAAAGGGAAGGAATTAGTCTTTGAGAGCAGAGTCCATGACTGTATGAACTGATGCAGAAAACCACTGCACCTTCTTATTGGCAGAAGCCTTCTTCCAGGAATGGCTTGTCATGATGAGGTTGGCTGACACTGTCGCGGCCCATACGAGCAAGAGGACTGTGCCTTTCAAATATAGTGCCTGTTTAAACGCAAGTGGCACGATAAATCTCGAAGCGTTGAAAGATGCAGAACGGGATTCGGCCCTCCGTATTCGGCGCAGAGTGTGCGTGGCCCCTTTTCCAAGGGAGGTACCTTTACAGCGCCTTATCAAGCCACAACATACCGCATCGACGCCCACCGCGCCTGCCCGCCCACAAATGTCCGACTGATGCTGATGCTGATATCGCTTCATTTGTGGAGTACGGTAAGAAGCGAAGGGATTGATGTGAAGCGGTTGCTGTGCTGCATAGATACAGTGCGTAACAAAAGTATGTGGACACCTCAAATTTTTGTCCTACAAAATTGCCTTTGAGTTTTGCGATATGAGAACTTTATTGTTGAATTCCCCGTAAGCGAAAACATAGGAATACACAACTTCTGAGCACTTTATGAACTACTGTACAATTATTTATTGTTTTGAAAAAGTTTCTTAATAACAAAAAAGTATGTGGACACCTGAGGATTTCCCAAGTGACTCCAGATCTGCAATCCATTTTTATGGTCTCTAGTCCCCATTAACCTGTATTCATACCCCGTCGTGGTAGTCCTCCCTACGAAGACGAACAGGCTTGGATTCGAACTTTCAGTGCT